ATATATTTATATATATATATATATGCTTTGAGTATTAAGAAAATAAGCTCTTTTTATTTTTAAAAATAAAAAAATATCATGATTAATATACAAAACATGTTTTTAACAACAAAACATAAAAAAAAATAAGGGGGCGTTCAGGATGACTTTTGATTTTGATTTTGATTTTGATTTTGATTTTTTATTTTATTTTGTTTATGTTTTGATTTAAAATAAACGATATTCAGTATGATATAACATGTTTAGTTGTTTTTAAAAATAAACAAAATAACTTTTACATATTTTGAGTGTTTTTAAAATCAAGCTAATTTATTTTTAGAAATAAAAAAATAAAATATGCAAAAAGACAAACATGCTTTTAAAATAAAAGAAAAAATAAAAAAATAAAATAAAATACGAAAGTGATCCAAACAAACTCTAAGGCGGGATTTAGTGAATTTCTAAATCGCAAACCTGTCAAATCCACCCTACCCTTGGATTTAGTAAATCCAAAAATTGGGACACTAAATCCAAACATTCACGGAAGCACGAAATTCCTCCATTTCTGCATTTAATCATTTGACTTGATTTAATAAATCCAGTGATAAACCCTATTAAACGACGCTGCCAAACATCCCCCAAGTCTGTATCAATCAAAATATTTTATCATGCTCAATTTTCACCATACCTGATGTGATATTCAGGTGTTCGTCTCCCTGGGTTCCGGTCCTTGGGATGCCCTCTTTGGCAAGGGAAACATCCCAGCTTTTGCTCTTTCTTCAGGCATAGCTCTAATTGGTGGCTTCATTGGCTTGGCCGTTCTGCCCAAGATCTCAAGCGATTCTCTGAAGAGCAGCAGCTTTGGTTCCATGCACTAATCCGAGATCAACTCATGAGAGGTTTGGGTGTTTTCCAAACAGGACTATATGCCTTTTTTCCTCTCTTTATATCTTAATTTCAAGTCTTTTGAATTTCCTTCCTTCTTTCTTTTTTGGTGTTTGGCATTGCAATTTTTGGCTGTGCTGACTGCGTTTCGGAAATTGAGAAATTCTTGACAGAACAGACGATAATGTAACGTTTGGACTGTTGTAAAGTATATATGTTTCGTTAAATAAGAGCATTCTATTTGTTACATGACATTGTATGACTCAATTTGGTTTCAACTTATGAGTTTACTTTTTTATTTGATTTAATTGCAGTTCGTGATCTGGCAATGTTATTATTATTGTACTTGATTTAATTGGCTTTAAGTCGACTAGATAAATGACCTATGAGTTCAGCTGACCGCATAACAAGTCGAGCCCGAGCTACCATTTGCTCGACTTATCAGCTTGCAAGTCATAGTTTAAAAAATGTTTAACATAAAATATACTCTAAAATGTGTACAAATTAAATCAAGTGCAAAATCTTAAAAAAATAAAAAGAAAAAATTATTATTCAATCTCTAATTCATCATGTTTTTAATAATTTTATTGAATTAGAATCATATTCTCTCTTTCATAACAAATGAGTATGCTCATGATTCAACTTGAACTTATGGAATTGAGCTAAGATATATATATATATATATATATATATAAGATTTGTTTGTACCTTGAATTTGCATTTGAGATGTATGGAAATAATTTTATTAATACTTGTAGCATCCATATAGTCAACCATCATGTTTTAACAACAAACACATTCAATGGAAAGTTTATGAAATCTTCTTTGGCCATTTTATCATGGGTTCTCTAAAAAGCTCAATTTTTTTTTGAAACATAGTTTTATGTTCATACAATGCATAGGAGATGACAATTATTTATAAATAATATCTATTGTATAATATCTATTTTATATACTATAAAGTAGATAAATATAAAATTATTATACAATGTTCATATATGGTAATAGTGATAAAGCTACTCAATTGTTTGTTGATGGCCCCTTCGACCTTGTTGTTAGAAGAAATCATAGTGATAAAGCCATTTAATTTTATCAATACAGATCATGATAGCCCTCGCCAAGGTTTTTTATCATTTCAAATTGATGCCTCGTTTTATCCTTTCAATGTGATGAATTATATTTGTACATTGTCACCCTTTTATATTTTACATTTCTAGCCTTCTAGCCTACTGGGCTATAGTAATTTTTTGTAGCCTTTCAATGATGTTCTCTCTAACTCCTCTCATGATCCTAACTCAAATTCTACATCTAATAGATCATTCTTAGATATATTGATAGGAGAGCATTCTTTAGGTTTTGTCTATGTTGGTATTAAATCTAACTTTAAATTTAGTTATATTCTTATTGTGATGTTGACTTTTGAAGGGATAATGTACCTTTTCAACACACATGAGTTTTTCCTTATCAGTAAATTTTCTTTCAATTATCCTAAACTCAAAAAGATTTGAAAGTATTTTAGTGATTTTGAGTTTTCGAGTTTTGGTGGGATTAAATTGTAACACTACAAATTCTGAAAATTCATGTTTAGATGATTGAAAACAATATTAAAAATGATGTACTGTCTTGAAAGATAGTTTACCTGATGAAAAATATAAAATTGGAGTGTTTGCATGAACCAAAGATTTTTCTCTTATCATATCTCGAAAAGTGGAGATACTTTTATGAAATAGATCCAATCGCCTAATAAAAAAAATATAAAATTGGCGAAATTGTGCAAAAAAAAATTTCCCCCTTGCTTGATTAGGGCAATGTTTGTTTTGGTCTAGGGTAAAGTTTCCAACAAGAGCAAGCCTCTGTAATTAGGTACATCAAAGGAGAATTAATCTCTTTAGAATAGTTTCAATTAAAACAAGGGCATGTATCTCTTTAAATTTTAATGTTTAGATTTAAGATTGCTATATATTTGAAAATTAATTGTGATAGCTCAAGTCAGAATCATTTTCATATGATGAAGGCTATGTAATGCTTAGATACTTAGAAACATAGTAGCACTCTAATCAATCTTGTGCTAAACTTTATATTTTATAAATTGAGATTTATTTATATTTGAGTTCTTTCTTTTATTATAATGTTAAGACTTATGTTCCAACACACAATACCATGCAAAAGTTTAGGAAATAAGGACTTATTCCATAGAAAGGAGAAAAAAGTGCCTCAAAACATATATTAAGGCGAACATTATTGATTCAGGTAGGTGTTGGCATAAATTTTAGATCTTATGAGGTCTTTAGATCTTTCCAAGTACCCTTGGGGTTATGCGTGCATGGCCAAAAGTCCATTTTGGCCACGGCTCTGCATTTGATTGGATGTACATCTACTATCAACCACCACCATTAATGGAACCACAACATTAGAACGGGGTGCAATGGTGTGCATTTAACAAAATTCAATTCAGCTTTAGCGCTCCAACACCACGAGTGGGGGAGCATGGTGACACCGATTTTGGGCGTCGCTGTGCGCCACCTCATATGTTATTAATGGCCACTCGAAAGATTTATAAACCAGGTATGGTGCCACAGTACATTGCCCAGTGTCATGGCACCTGAGAATCTATAAATTGGGAAGGAACCTTAATGGTTTTGTACGCCTTAACTTTTATGATGAAGCCTTCATGTATCTTCCCTTTCCTCAAGATAATTATCTCTTCTCTTTTTTTATATGCCTTTGAGGAGAAGGATGAAGTCTCCCTCCCATGAGAAAGAGGGGTTTGACACATCCCGATTCACAAGCTGGAAGGTTGCACGAAGACACGAAATCCCACAACTACCGTATTATTATCTTCGAGTTTGAGGGTGATATAGCCACCCCCCAAATGATGATGGACTAGGTGAAGCTAGTCAAGGATCTACAGTCCACGACCACCTTAGTCGTTCGAGAGTTCATGGCCTATTATAGGGAGCCAGTAATGATAGAGTGTTTTTCATGGGGTACTGGGTGCAGTTCGATCAAGAAACAATCAATCTCGTGTATGACCTAGCCATATATGTCGACGATCAATTTACTGACTTCATGAACAAGGGTCTCAACTACAGCGACATCTTCAGGTATCTCACAGCATTGGTTGGGACGGACTTGTTGGCCGAGGTTGAGGGACAGCTTGTTAACCTTCCAAAGAGTGTGCTCACCCAAAAAGCGAAGGTCTGACATTTCTTCATCTTTGTTTAATTCCTTCCCAACACACATTTGAGCGTGCTGCTCTGAGCTATGCTATCCAACACCACCACACAATTGATGTGGGTCACGATGATCCATACTCCGTATAGTTTGTAGGAGCAACACAGTTAACATTGGATGTCCTTGCCTCATCTTCACCATGTGCATCAGGGTCGGGGTAGTGTCCGACCCTCTGGAGGAGAATGTGGGCCCCATAAAGCCCATCATGAAAGCCAACATTCATTCCTATTGTGTGCTTTCTCTAGGTCATGTAGATGTTGCCATAGCACATGCTCCTCACCATCCCGACCCGTTCCTTCCAGGACCATGATCAAGAGCTTATGTGTAATGCGGTCTTGGTGGATTGAAATGTAGACCTCATCACTCCCTAGTTGGTCCACATGGGAAACCAACATGACAGTCTCTTTTTCTGGTCTACTGATCTCATAAGTTAGCTCATGAGTGGTTTCAGAGACAGCACATGCCTGCACTTCAATACATCTATTTTTTCAGAAGTTGGCCCTAGAGGCATCTTCGAGGATGATGATAGTGACGGTGGCAACAATGAAGAGTAGGTCAGTGTTGAGTGGTAGTTGCCACCCCCACCACATTTGTTGTTGTTGATTGATGGGCTCTGTGTGGGCATGCATTATTATTATTATTATTTATCCTATTTTGTTCGTCCCTTGTGTGGGATTTATTAATTGTTCCTCCCCTTACTAGGGGATGCATTCTATAATAGTTTTCTCTAGTCATGGAAAATTAAGTATATAACTTTATATGACAAATTATGATCATTTTGTCCTCCCCCTCCTCTCCACCCCCGAGGAGGGGTAAGGAGATCTTGTGGAGCCGATGCATATTTTTGTTACATATTTCTTTGATACATTGCATTTTATCTGTGATCTATGTCATTTCTGAAAAACATCGATGTCAGCTTAAATACGTTTACATAACTCACAGGAGCCCCAAGATGCAATATGTGAAAAGTAGCTTGATAGTGTCATTAAACCTTATGTTGCCATCAGAAGCTTGCCAGTTTATGAAGGACCGAGCGTTGACATACTATCAATGCCATGGTGCCTACCACATTGTCGTGTCACATTTTCGTCTTGATGTGACATAATGATCGCAATGCCACAGTGTTTGTTTACCCTAGTCCTAATGGCAGTGCATGATAAGACGATATTCATGCTGGCTTTCTGACATGGAAATTGCCCCATTGATAGTGCCGCAGTGCCTCTTTAGTGGTAAAAACATTTAGTTTTATCAATACAAGTCGTGATAGCCCTCTTCAAGGATTCAAGAAGAGCTTCATTGAAAAATTGGCTTAGTTACCAAGTGAAATTCTTCCACAGAAATTTTGCAAGTTAGTCTCCTTCCATGCAAAAGATGAGTGACCCTAAAAAAAATAATTGAATGAAATTTTGTTAGTAGTCCTAAAAATTAAATTAAATAATTACACACATCACTTCTTGTAAGTGTGTTGACTCACTCTATACTTTAACCATAATGACTTGCTCTATCTTTTCAAAGAGATGAATCACTAATTTTCTTTGTTGCCATTTTTTTTTGACTTGTCATGTCTTATATTTTACTTGTCTGGTATCCATATTTTGTTAAATTGTCACAATATTTTAATGATGCTTTTTCTAACTCTTCTCAAGATTCTAGTTCAAATTTTATATCTAATATATAATTTTTATATACATTGATTGGAAAGCATTCAATAGATTCAATCTAGGTTAGCATTAAATCTAACTCTAAATTTAATGTTATTTATGGTGAGTTGTTCACTTATGAAAAGATACTATCTAATTCTAACACATTTAAGTTTTTCCTTGTTAGTAATTTTTCTTTCAATCACACCCATTAGAGATGATTTAAGAGTCTTTACATGACTTTAAATTCTTTAGTTCCTTTTTTTTTTTAAATAGCATACTGAACCTACGATGTAATCCTATTGATTTAAACTAATAAAATGACTATTCTTGATTATTTCTATATTTTGTATTAACATTTTTTTATAAGAGTAAACAAATGGTGTTTTTATATTTTAGATAGAAACAATTTATTGCCCCAATTTGGATTAGCTTTGTAAACAAATGGTGTTTTTATATTTTAGTAGAAACAATTTATTGCCCCAATTTGGATTAGCTTTCCTTATCTTAAAACTCTTTTGATTAACCACATTTATATATTTTATAAATCCAATAAGAAATACTAATGTGTTGATCTCACAATCACATCCTTCTATTGCTCGTTTATTAGTATATATAAATATTACAAATGTAATATAACAATTTAGATTAGCTTAAGAAAATTGTTGTTAAGAAGAATTTTCATAATTTTATTCAAATTATAAATTTTAGAGTCATGAAAACCATTTTATTTTTTCATTCATATAGAACTAAAAATATAATATTAAAACTCCTCTTTAGAAAAATTCCTATGGTAAAAATGTGTTTATTACTAGTAATGGTGCACTTTGATATATAACACTCAAATGGTTTTTGTGATGAGCAATTTTCATAGTCATGATCACCTTTCTAACAATTTTATTGTCATGGATAAACCAATCAGGGGTTTCTATTTGCTCATGTTATTCTAGCTAAGCCCATGATGGGAGATGGGCATATAGTTAATGTTGGTTTTAATTCCAAGCTCTAAAAAATTATTTCTTCTCCATTATTTTGTGAGGGTGATGGAGGTGTTGTATCATCAAATTTGATGCTTGAAGACTATGATAGTGATTATATTTTTTTAGGATTTCCTTTTGGTGATTTGCTTACATAAATGAACCTCTTACAGCAGACAATAAGACAAATATTAACAACTTGAGTTTCACAAATTTATTTATTTTTTAATATAAATATGACAAAGCCTATGCTATTGTCTCTTTTCAACCAATCTTTATTCTTATCATAAGAATTTTTTGATTAATTATCCTTCAATATTACTTCATATGAAAGTCTATCAAGGATGATCCTATTTTAATGTCGATTTCTTATATGAAATGTTGATCAAACATGTAAATAATGACAACTTTTCCTTCTAGATAATTGATATATTGTTAGTAAAAATAAGTGGGAGCTAGTTGAATCAAATTATTTGAGATTTTATTATAGATTAACCAAATATCAAGCTAATTTTCTTAAGGCTAAAAAGTTAATTGATTCTCAACAAAGAAAGGATTACTAGTGAGTTCCTCAGGATGGGTAATGCCCTAATTTATATGAAGATGATAAAAGTATGTTATAAGATGATTTATATATTGTCACTGAAAAATATTGTTAGCTAATGGAATGAAATAATTTGAGCTATTACTATAGATTGACCCAATATCATGATAAAAAGTTGATTGAACATCAATATAGAAAGGGTTATTGGAGTACTCCTCATGACAGTTATTGTCATAACTTATATGCATAAAATAAAAATATGTTAGAGGAGTATTAAATGGCTAAGAACGAGCTTTGATGATTTTTTGGCTTACTTTGGATCAACTTATATTGGACTTATTCCATTATAAATAAAATCTTATTAACCTAATCATCTTGTTGGCAATAATTATATAATTTTTAAATTATATATATATATA